ACCCTACCTACAATCAGATAAGATCTATCAATCTAACCATCAGAAAACATTCATCCAACATTTATCTAACATACAATCAGATAAGATCTATATCTAACCACCAGAAAACAGTCATCCAGCAAACAGTGAGATAAGATCCTTCTATGTAACCACCAGGAAACCTTTCATCCAGCAAACAGTGAGATAAGATCTTTCAATGTAACCACCAGAAAACATTCATCCAGTAAACAAACAGACAAGATCTATCTATGTAACCACCAGAAAACATTCACCCAGTAAACAATCAGATAAGATCTTTCTACGTACCCACCAGAAAACAGTCATCCAGCAAACAATCAGATAAGATCTATCTATGTAACTACCAGAAAACATTCATCTAATAAACTAACAGACAAGATCTATCTATGTAACTACCAGAAAACATTCATCCAGTAAACAATCAGACAAGATCTATCTATGTAACTACCAGAAAACATTCATCCAGCAAACAATCAGATAAGATCTATCTATGTAACAACCAGAAAACATTCATCCAGTAAACAATCAGACAAGATCTATCTATGTAACTACCAGAAAACATTCATCCAGTAAACAATCAGACAAGATCTATCTATGTAACTACCAGAAAACATTCATCCAGCAAACAATCAGACAAGATCTATCTATGTAACCACCAGAAAACATTCATCCAGTAAACAATCAGACAAGATCTATCTATGTAACTACCAGAAAACATTCATCCACTAAACAATCAGACAAGATCTATCTATGTAACCACCAGAAAACATTCATCCAGTAAACAATCAGACAAGATCTATCTATGTAACTACCAGAAAACATTCATCCAGTAAACAATCAGACAAGATCTATCTATGTAACTACCAGAAAACATTCATCCAGCAAACAATCAGACAAGATCTATCTATGTAACCACCAGAAAACATTCATCCAGTAAACAATCAGACAAGATCTATCTATGTAACCACCAGAAAACATTCATCCAGTAAACAATCAGACAAGATCTATCTATGTAACTACCAGAAAACATTCATCCAGCAAACAATCAGACAAGATCTATCTATGTAACCACCAGAAAACATTCATCCAACAAACAATCAGACAAGATCTATCTATGTAACCACCAGAAAACATTCATCCAGTAAACAATCAGACAAGATCTATCTATGTAACCACCAGAAAACATTCATCCAGTAAACAATCAGACAAGATCTATCTATGTAACCACCAGAAAACATTCATCCAGCAAACAATCAGACAAGATCTATCTATGTAACTACCAGAAAACATTCATCCAGTAAACAATCAGACAAGATCTATCTATGTAACCACCAGAAAACATTCATCCAGTAAACAATCAGACAAGATCTATCTATGTAACTACCAGAAAACATTCATCCAGGAAACAATCAGACAAGATCTATCTATGTAACCACCAGAAAACACTCATCCAGTAAACAATCAGACAAGATCTATCTATGTAACTACCAGAAAACATTCATCCAGTAAACAATCAGACAAGATCTATCTATGTAACTACCAGAAAACATTCATCCAGCAAACAATCAGACAAGATCTATCTATGTAACTACCAGAAAACATTCATCCAGTAAACAATCAGACAAGATCTATCTATGTAACCACCAGAAAACATTCATCCAGTAAACAATCAGACAAGATCTATCTATGTAACCACCAGAAAACATTCATCCAGTAAACAATCAGACAAGATCTATCTTTGTAACCACCAGAAAACATTCATCCAGTAAACAAACAGACAAGATCTATCTATGTAACCACCAGAAAACAGTCATCCAACAAACAATCAGACAAGATCTATCTATGTAAACACTAGAAAACATTCATCCAGCAAACAATCAGATAGCTTCAATCTAACCATCACAAAACATTCATCCAGCAAACAATCAGATAGCTTCAATCTAACCATCACAAAACATTCATCCAGCAAACAGTCAGATAGCTTCTATCTAACCATCAGAAAACATTTATTCAGCAAACAATTAGATAGCTTGAATCTAAACATCAGAAAACATTCATCCAGCAAACAATCAGATAAGATCTATCTATGTAACCACCAGAAAACATTCATCCAGTAAACAATCAGACAAGATCTATCTATGTAACCACCAGAAAACATTCATCCAGCAAACAATCAGACAAGATCTATCTATGTAACTACCAGAAAACATTCATCCAGTAAACAATCAGACAAGATCTATCTATGTAACCACCAGAAAACATTCATCCAGTAAACAATCAGACAAGATCTATCTATGTAACTACCAGAAAACATTCATCCAGTAAACAATCAGACAAGATCTATCTATGTAACTACCAGAAAACATTCATCCAGTAAACAATCAGACAAGATCTATCTATGTAACCACCAGAAAACATTCATCCAGCAAACAATCAGACAAGATCTATCTATGTAACTACCAGAAAACATTCATCCAGTA